TCAACACCTGCAGCGTGTGAAGATCACTTTTCCAATACCCAGGCTAGACCTGTTTCGGTAGCTTGACCAACCGTCGCCACAGAATAGAAATGTTACATCTCCAAGAAACCTTGTTCGGAAATTGTTGGTTATGAAAACTGAAGCTTCATATTTCTTAAATTTATAAAGATCATCATGAAATTAGATTATTTTGTTCGGCTGACATATTTGCATTACATTTTTCTTTTTTTGTTAACATTGTTCTGTCAAATTATCGGGAGAAAATACTTAACTTCCCAAGGCGCTCATTTTAGATCCGTTCAAGTGAGGACACGTCCAACGAAACATACACATTTCTCTGACTAATTGATGGTTTCCCTCTTGGGGTATCCTTATGATATCCATCATTGTCTGTGGGACATGGTGGCACGTTCTTCCTATATTTTCTGCAAAACAAACACAGATTGTCAGCTTCATATATGAAGAATGGTTTCGGATTTCTGATGGTAGATAAATGAATTCATAATGGCTGTTCTGAAGACCAACATATTGTAATAATATATTCTGTTAACATTAACAATAGGTAAAGGCTCCTGATTTGAACCTTAAATTTTCTTTTGTCATATTGTCTCTACCCGGAGCCAAGAGCCATTCTTCACCAAAGAAACGTGTCACATCTTCCTTTGCCATAAACAACCGTTAGGGATCTAAAATATACACATGGAAATACGCATCGCAATACCAGTGTATGACTGACTGACTGACTGAGTTTGGTTTTACGCCGCTTTTAGCAATATTCCAGCAACATCACGGCGGGGGACACCAGAAATGAGCTTCACACATTGTACCCATGTGTGGATTCGAACCCGGGTCTTCGGCGTACCAGTGTATGAAGTATGAAATAAGGCCGCCCGTGCATGATGTAAGTAATGATGTATATGCGTTGTACAGAGAGAGAGAGAGAGAGAGAGAGAGAGAGAGATAGATCCCGTTAATCGCCTCTTAGGACAAGCATGGGCAACTGTAGATCAATTTTAACCCGGATCTTCACGGGTCAGTACTGGAATAAGAAACAAAAACAAACAAGCAGTAATGTGACACTTTAAGATGATATATTTTCGTCAGTACTGGAATGAAATAAAGTTGACTGTGATATTATCATCTTAAGTGTTTTTACAGCTAAATTACTGCTCCTATATTACATTGTCATGTTCCTTGTGCTGGAAGTGAATCTGGTCTGTCAATGTAGTTCCTTTAAAGTAATTTTGTAACTTAATTTTAGAATAACCGATAATTGCAATTGTTGTTTAATTTGTGTTTCACACTAAATTCTTTTGCGTACGGATTTCTACTTTTTGAATACACTTAGTATTATTTATGGTTGGAAATCAAAACGTAAAACAAACAACCAGATATATTCCTAGCAACACTGCACTTGCTTATACCCGGGACATGTTAATGTACATGGCGTGTTAGTGAAGGTCGTATCTTATACCCGGGACATCTTAATGTACATGGCGTGTTAGTGAAGGTCGTATCTTATACCCGGGACATCTTAATGTACATGGCGTGTTAGTGAAGGTCGTATCTTATACCCGGGACATCTTAATGTACATGGCGTGTTAGTGAAGGTCGTATCTTATACCCGGGACATCTTAATGTACATGGCGTGTTAGTGAAGGTCGTATCTTATACCCGGGACATCTTAATGTACATGATGGTGTGTTAGTGAAGGTCGTATCTTATACCCGGGACATCTTAATGTACATGGCGTGTTAGTGAAGGTCGTATCTTATACCCGGGACATCTTAATGTACATGGCGTGTTAGTGAAGGTCGTATCTTATACCCGGGACATCTTAATGTACATGGCGTGTTAGTGAAGGTCGTATCTTATACCCGGGACATCTTAATGTACATGGTGTGTTAGTGAAGGTCGTATCTTATACCCGGGACATCTTAATGTACATGGCGTGTTAGTGAAGGTCGTATCTTATACCCGGGACATCTTAATGTACATGGCGTGTTAGTGAAGGTCGTATCTTATACCCGGGACATCTTAATGTACATGGCGTGTTAGTGAAGGTCGTATCTTATACCCGGGACATCTTAATGTACATGGCGTGTTAGTGAAGGTCGTATCTTATACCCGGGACATCTTAATGTACATGGTGTGTTAGTGAAGGTCGTATCTTATACCCGGGACATCTTAATGTACATGGCGTGTTAGTGAAGGTCGTATCTTATACCAGGACATCTTAATGTACATGGCGTGTTAGTGAAGGTCGTATCTTATACCCGGGACATCTTAATGTACATGGCGTGTTAGTGAAGGTCGTATCTTATACCCGGGACATCTTAATGTACATGGCGTGTTAGTGAAGGTCGTATCTTATAAGGACATCTTAATGTACATGGCGTGTTAGTGAAGGTCGTATCTTATACCTGGGACATCTTAATGTACATGGCGTGTTAGTGAAGGTCGTATCTTATACCCGGGACATCTTAATGTACATGGCGTGTTAGTGAAGGTCGTATCTTATACCCGGGACATCTTAATGTACATGTGTTAGTGAAGGTCGTATCTTATACCCGGGACATCTTAATGTACATGGCGTGTTAGTGAAGGTCGTATCTTATACCCGGGACATCTTAATGTACATGGTGTGTTAGTGAAGGTCGTATCTTATACCCGGGACATCTTAATGGACATCTTAATGTACATGGCGTGTTAGTGAAGGTCGTATCTTATACCCGGGACATCTTAATGTACATGGCGTGTTAGTGAAGGTCGTATCTTATACCCGGGACATCTTAATGTACATGGTGTGTTAGTGAAGGTCGTATCTGCGTCTGCTATTTCCTCCCTGTACCCAGTGGCTGGTTCAGGGTTGGGCCTTAGTTGTCAACCACGGGTTCCCCTAGCCCTAGGTGTCATCATCCACCGATGCTCACACGCTGTCAACCACGGGTTTCCCCTAGCCCTACACCTAACAGAACGCTTAACTTACAGAACGCTGTCAACCACGGGTTTCCCCACCTTACACTTAACTAGCGCTGTCAGGGGTAGCCCTACACACTAAACTTACAGAACGCAGAACGCTGCCTAGCCCTTACACCTAAGACCCCACGGGTCCCCACTAGCCCTAATGTAACTTACAGAAGCCCTTACACCACCTAACTAACTTACAGAACGCTGTCAAGCCACGGGTTTAGCCCCCCCTAGCCCTAGCCCTTACACTTAACTTACAGAACGCTGTCAACCACGGGTTTCCCTAGCCCTAGCCCTTACACTTAACCTAACTTACAAGAACGCTGTCAGCGGGGCTGTAACGATGTATCGAACTATTACAGAATGGATTGCAACTGTTGAATCTCCTATGTATCGAACTATTGATGGATTGCAATTGTTGAATCTCCTCTAGCAATTAATCACTGGAAGAAACGAAAAACTATCGATGCATCGATAAAATACAGGATGTTTGGGTGCAGACTTGCAGCTTCATTGAGTTTATGTTTTAACTGTTTTCTTGAGCTGGGTTTCAAGTTTCTTGTCAGTTATTAAAAGAGACTGAAACTACTTCAACTTGTTTTTATTTCATATAAACTATACATTCATTTGGGAAATGACTTCATATGAGACAATGCAAGGAGAAAAAACAACTATTGCAATAGTTGGTCGCAATAGTATGTTATAATGGTGTACGGAACTTTGCCCACAACACTTTTTACAAGGGAAGAACTTTGCCCACAATAATAATAATGCAACATGATATAAATGATATCAAATTACTTTTATTAAACTACACAGAAATAGCATATAATATAGCACATTGATAGTTGAAAATGAACTATTTCTTATAATTTCCATCTTGTAATGCTATGTAAATCTGTAGACAACCTTATTTACTTTGTCAAGCTTTGTAGAGGTTCAAAAACATATTAGCGAGCTGGGTATTAAGGTGGGTAAATAGTTAAGGTAAGTGTTTATTGTAATTAGAAAAAGAAATACCAACAAGCACAGAAGCCTTGGTGGAGTGCAATTAATGTTTGATTTCTTTTATAAATAACACATCCTGAGCAGGATATTAAGGTGGGTGAGTATTAAAATTTATATTGTGGGCAAAGTTCCTCCCCTGTAAAACTTGTTGTGGGCAAAGTTCCTGTGGGGAAAGTTCCTTGTGGGCAAAGTTCCTGTGGGCAAAGTTTCTCGATTCTGTTGTAATAGACTATCGCTATCTCAATAGTTCTTCCCCTTCAATAGTCACCCCCCCTTGCTCACCCCGGCGTCAACACAGTGCTCAGTGTGTGGTATGATTGATTGTGTAATTCAATCATAGACTGCCGAATCCTTTTCCGAAGCCAGTAAAATAATAATTAAAAAGAGCTTTTTTGACGATAATATTTTTTTATCAATGATGACAGTAGGAATAATTGAGCCTAATCATATAGAAAACCTAAATGTCTGATTATTTTACTGTTTGAGGAAGTTAAAATTAACTAAATTTATCTAAATTTAACAAAATGAACATATGTACGTGTCCATGATTATTGGTGTTAATGTACAATAAGTGGGGTTTTGAATTTGAAACACACAGTAAACGTTCCGTAGACAAAGTAGGATAGGGCTTGATTACGAAAACGAGGACACCAAGTGTGTTTACTTTGTCGCCGAGGTAGTTATCGGACTTCGGCACTTTCCGTACCAGTCCGAAATGTTACGGAGTCTTACCAACCAATCAAATTACCTCCCTTTCCGCGTACCTTGCTAATGGCGAGAACACAGGTCAATAACGACGCTTCAACTACTTTTGTTCCAGATTTTGCTGCAGGTAATAGGTGTTCTAAGTGGGACAGTTATGTTGCAATATTTTTTTGAATCCTAAATATTATGATTGCGCTCGTATTTAGCTGCATTTACAGCCCGGAAGCGCGCACTGGGCGGGATTTCCATTTTCTTAGCCATTTTGTGTTGTCGCGTCGATATTTTCGTTCGTGTGCAAAACACTGTAAATCTCTCTCTTCGGGTTTTTCATTATAACTTACTGAATCGATGTGTATATTAACTTTGCCTTAGTTGTAAATTTGTAAAATTTCATGCTATATTTGGCAAAAAAAGTCCCCCGAAGTCGTGAGGCTGTTTTCACTGAGAACTGAACCTTTTGCGATCCGGGAAATGGGAACTTCATTTGAAATTCGGCATCCATCTTGATTTTCTGAAACCATTCGTAAAATCATTAGGGTGCGCAAGTTCGTCTTTTCCCTACACTAACAGGTGATTTATACATTCTTTGTTAGCGAGAGCTCGGAACAATGCTACTACAGAGTGCCTGTATCGATTTCTGACACGTTGGCTACTCGAGGGCTTGTCAATTTCAACTGTAAATGACCGAGACCTGCCCAATCATGATTTTACTTGCTCCCCTTTGGATTTTGACGGTTTTACACTCATAAAATCAACAATTGGTTCATCCCATGCCATAAAATCACTCATATTTTATATTTATCACGATTTAACCCAAAAGTGTAAAGTTGCATTTTTGTAGAGAAGAGAGAAGAATGACCTATATATGCACGTTGCTAGTGGAGATACCACGAGTGGATGTAGGTCTGGTTGCAACATGATGGTTTGTTGCTAAGTACAGGTCTTGCACATAACTTTACAAGTAATAGGACCCAGAAACCAGATATACATGTAATTATTTTCTGCTTTTCCTTACACTTCTATTTGGAAGTTCAATATCAAAGTCAATGTTTACTGTGCAGTTATACAAAACACAGTAATGCATTAAAGATGAATTGTTCAGATATCAACACTGTTTTAAGAATAATATTGAATGTGTATGTTAAGTGAAGTATAGAAAATGGTATTTAAAGCAAGCACAAATGACAAGTGGTTGATAACTCAAACATTAAGAGGTGACTTTTAGGGGTCCAAGTTTCAAATACCATTGATGTAGACCAGGAACATGTTGAATATGAATTTGTCTTGTCACATATTTGATGCATGATTAATTCCTTTGGGATTTTTATGCTGACAATCTTTACTACAAATCCATACAATATGCAAACAGCATCAGCAAATGCTTACTTTAACAGTCTGGTGACATGTAAGACTGAAGTATGTTGTGATGGCATATAACAGGAGACTGGCACAACTTGTCGCTAATTTCTGTGGTGAACAACTCACTTTTGTGCTATTACATCACTCCAGCAATATTTTTAAGTTGTATTGAAACTGGAGTTTGATGGAATTATGTTTTCCATAGGTTTTGGTACTTTTATGCTTAAATTGTTGTAGTTAAGGATGACGAAGTTTGATAAGACCAAAAGAATCAACTCTAAAACTGTTAACTGTAAGTCTTAGATTATAAACTAACTGTACCAGATCATGCATGCACATTGCCTATCTATCTATGTCCATCGGTCCGGCACTTGTAATACACTGGTTTTATTGTTAGCTAGTATGTTTGTGAAGATGTGATAGAAATGTCACAGCATTTCATGAGAGCTTGTCAGGCCAGCAATGTGCATAAAAAGTTTCTACACTGCAATCAACATGCAGTGTAATACAAGTAAGTCAAGATTTCACTGGCCAGTTAACATACACACTGCTGGTAACTGAATGTCATCAGTATACACAACTGGTCACTTATGCTAGGGTTACACTATGTTCCAGCTGCATTTCCCCAAAACATAGTGCGCAGTGGGATTTGGGCCATTTTTTCCCTCCAGTTCAAGTTTTGTTCACGGTAGCCGTGATAGGCCATTGGAAAAACAGGCTGCTTAGTCCCTGAAGCTCAAAGGCGCCTTATGTTTTGGTCTGCTGTCCACTAAGGATGCCTGAGTGAAGATAACTCCAAATATCAAAACAATTCTACTGAAATGGATTCAACTTTTATTGTAGCTCTTAAACTATGCAATTTACTCTTTTAATGCTTTTAAACACCTTTGTGGTTTAAGTCTACTTTTATAAGTGAACATCTATCAACTAAGTTGCTTATACACATTTCAATTCTAAATTCCCGTATTGGGATGAAACATAAATACATGTTGCTTCCTTGTTAAACGGGCGGTGGGGTAGCCTAGTGGTTAAAGCGTTGGCTCGTCACGCCGAAGCCCCGGTTCGGTTCCCCACATGGGCACAATGTGTTAAGCCCATTTCTGGTGTCCCCCGTCGTGATATTGCTGGAATATTGCTAAAAGCGGCGTAAAACTAAACTCAGTCAGTCAGTCCTTGTTAAACAACACACAACTAAACTCTAAAACATTGACAAAATCATGTGTACCGTCCATTGTGAAATGTAATATTATCATGTCCATAGTGAGTGTCTTGAGGGGCGTTTTGACGCACTGTTTTCTTTGCTGCGTTTTGTCAAACAGTTCTGTCAAATGCCATTATCCTCCTGGCCTGTCGCGTTCTGATGGGTTCCCTCACGTTTCTCATGTTTTCATCAAGGTTTTGTGTGTTCTGTTAGACTTTCTTCTGATGAAACGTGGACACTAGCCAGATTTGGAGCACGTTTGTGTCCACGGTACAAAAATGAAGCCTCCGAAACAATAACAGCCATTGTATCCTGAGACTGAGAGACAAGAGCAGCATGAACCCCCAGATGGAGAAGATGTTGTGTTTGTATGTTTGTTGGGGGCATCCATCGAGTCCTGCCGGGCTTGCTGTTAATACTCCCTCCAAGATAAAGTGCACCGAATCAGACCGTAGTAGAACGCAACATGGCGTATCTCGCCGGCCCTGGATGCGTTTCATGCCTGGATGAGTAGTGATAAAACAGGACAAATTGGCAACCATAACCCTAGTCTGCTGTTAGAACTGGGACAAAACGGGAAGCAAGGGTGAAACAACTGTGACAAAACGCCAAACAAACATGGCAGAACGTGACAAAATGTGAGATGCTCGGGAGTACACATGCCTATAGTCCCACTACGGACCGCCTACAGGTTTCATTTCGGGCTCTTTTGCTTCTTTCTCTTTCTTCTTCTCTCCAAGAACTTGTGGTACAGGATGTTCATGCTGTGAAATGTTGGCACTGCAGCTCTCAGGGCTGAGTCTTTGTTAGGCCTCTCGCCATCCAACTCGGGAATAACACCTCATCATTGAGTAAATAAAACAGATGGGAAATACATTGTTTGATGATGCAACACTCACATCATTGCATCTACAGATTTAAGTTTCTGAGTTGTTCAGTAAACTGACTTGGTGAGTACTGCGGTTGGTTATATTCCATTTGTCCCTTGGTATTCTGGATTTGACCAGAATCTGGTTGACAACAAAAGTCATATCTGACAAGTCAACATTGCACCTTGAACTGGTATTGCTGGTGTCATAATTCAGGATAAAATAACTGGTCACTCTAGATATGTACTAGTCATGAGTGACTGTGTCTATCCCGGAAAATCAAGATCAAGTGTTGCAAATACATGGAACATGCGTGGGGCATTTATTTCCTGGTATTGATCAGCTCTAAAGGATTAGTTTAAACACATAGTTGTCATGACTTCTACTTCTAGGGTGGATGGTATGAGAGGTAATTGTCATCATTTTGGATGAGTAATATCAGCAATCATATGTATTGACACACTACATTTTGGAAGAGGAATACTGCAAAAATCTATGAAATGTGACAATCTATACTTTGAAATTAGACATGATATGGAAAATAGCTATACAATGTGATAATATGGTTACATAATACAACTACAAATTGTTCTCCTAGGTATTGAATAATATCTCATGTTACGGGCAAAGAACTGTTCATGATGCGGTCAACATCTGGGGTTCCTGGCCTTGGCCTTTCAGCACTATGACTTAACATGCTTAGTGCTAACCTCAAGTACATGCAGTGATCAGGTGGCCTTGGTCTGCTTCTCATATTTGTGTCTTACCTTCTGATACTTTCCATTGTTAATATGAAACTTCGACTTATAACATCTGTATACTTAATGCACTGTACTTAAATGGGTGTCTAGCCTAAGTGCAGTCTGTCATTGCCAATGTCTTAATTAGATTTCTAGGAATATTAATATGGAACAAAGCTAATTAGTTGTATTATTGTCTGATTTTCTTCTAGACCTTTTCAGGGCGGTGGGGTAGCCTAGTGGTTAAAGCGTTGGCTCGTCACGCCGAAGACCCGGGTTCGAATCCCCACATGGGTACAATGTGTGAAGCCCATTTCTGGTGTCCCCCGCCGTGATGTTGCTGGAATATTGCTAAAAGCGGCTTAAAACCAAACTCAGTCAGTCAGTCTAGACCTTTTCTAAGGTCACTGTTAAACAAATACCAAGGTACCACAGTCACAGGTATTGAAGAAGTTGATGCATTGACCATGGTAAACTGACTTGATGTAAAGACATCATTTTACCTGGTGGTCTTGTGAAGTGGTGTAGTGTATTGTATGAATTAATAATTAATATATTTTTAGACGTTTGTGTCCGTCATGAATATGGTACATTGAATATTACTATGTGGCCTGAATGATGGCATATATTTTATTCAGTGTCCATTCTATGCATTTATCTGTACTGGATGCACATGACTGTATGTATAAAAATCTGAAACAATTGTTGGAGTCACATTTGGCAGGGTGCAGTGAGTTGAGCTGAGTTGAGTTGGGTTTTACGTCACATCGTACCATGGACATGATGATAATGCAACAATAGATCCAGCAATTGTAAGGCAATTTGACATGATTTCCACTCAGCTGAGACATAGATTGTCCCAGAGTATGTCAAGATACTAAAAGCTCTATGGATGCTGAAATATTACACTTGTTCATATGATCTTGGCCATTGTTGTGTGAAAGGTCATGGTCTAAGGGAGACAACTATCTGGTTCTTAATTGTCTCCCCTTATGATGGTTTGATAACTTTTAAGATACACGTGAAAGACGTGTCAAATTTATAGTACTTTTTACATTTGACCATGGGAAATAATCAATTTATTTTTGTGTTACTGTTGTCTTTCAGATCACAAGTAAGTGTGGACAGTTGAGACAGTCAGGAGATAGCCTGACAGAGAAGACATCTAGACCGTCTGTTTGCCTTAAGGTAAGCCCTTCTTTAGCAGATGACCGTAGTAGAAGACTATAGACTTATACACTTAAGATATGGATGACTGATGGTTAGAATAATATGTGCAATTAGGCTCAGGGGCTGTATAATATAACAAACTGTTTTTTAAAAGATAACATTGATATGAGCATTTGACGTGAAGAAACAAATCAAGTGATTCTTGTTACACCTAAAGGTTCAGTACTGAAGATAACCATGCTGTTGATCACAAAACTCTCAAGAATTCACTTTATTTTAAAATTCAGGGCCTAGATTTTCGAAGCTCTCTTAGGGCTAAGGTAGTCGTAAGTGCCATACATTAACATTAACCTAGACTGACTATCTTAGTGCTAAGAGAGCTTTGAAAATCTAGGCCCTGGTTGATATTTTGAAAGACTAACAGTCAAGTAAATTTTGTGATGTTTTTTGACCAATTTGTTATTAGCATGTGAAGATATGAACAGTAACTGCAGTCTGAAACTTGAATTTCCAGTCACAATGTCTACAAAGGAGGAAGAAGTGGAGCCTGTCAAGAGTGAAGAAAAGTCGCCCCAGAAAACAGGTGTACAGAATACAGCACCTCCTCAAGGTGATGATCCTTCCAAAACTCCTCCTAGAGCAGAAAGATCGATGTCGCCAAGAAGATCAGCTCGCGGTTCTCCTAGGGGTCGGTCACCACGGAGGTCACCAAAAGGACGGTTAGAGGAGAATGAGATTGAGATCAGGGTTGAGGTCCATGATGATGACAGCCATCAAATGAATGAGAGCGAAGAAGAGGAAGAGTTTGGTCAGTCGAGAGAGCTTGAGGAGCTCATCAGGAAGAGATCAGAGGAGGGCTTTTATATGGATGATGAGGAGGAGGAGTTGGAGGAAGAGGAAGATGAAGATGATATGGTAGAAGATGAAGTTAAAGAGCCTGGTGGAGATGAGGATGGATTGAAGGAAGGTGAGGAGGAAAATACTAGGGAAGAAGTGGAGGAAGAGGAAGATGAGGAGAAGGCAGCCAGTGAGGAAGCAGGAGAGAAAGGGGAAGATATGCAAGAGGGAGACATGGATCTGGTGGATGAAGATAAATCTGATGATGAGGTGTTAGATAAGAAACAAGGGATTGTGAAGGGAAGAGGCAGGCCGAAAAGGGCATCTAAGGGTGATGTTGAAGAAACTATTTCCAAGTTAGGGAAAATGAAGACCAAGAGTCCAGTGAAGAAATTCGTTTGGGGTGATGATGAAGATGAAGTGGTATCAGTGGAAAAGACTGCAAAAGGGAAGACAGCGAAAAAAAACAAGTCTGCACCGATAAAGATTGTAAAGAAAGGCAAAGCAGCTGCTGCCAAAGAGTCAAAGGTAGCTGCAGACAAAAATGCTAAAGCGTCAAAAGCAGCCTCATCTAAAAGTAAAGGGCCAACAGCCAGGGGTAGTGCCAAGCCATCTGGTGCCAAATCAGCTGTAGCTAAGCAGTCAGCTGCTAAACCAACACAAGCTAAGCAGTCTGCTGCTAAACCAACACAAGCTAAGCAGTCTGCTGCCAAATCATCTAAACCTGCTCCAAAACCCAAATCAACTCCAAAGAAAAGAGGGCGTAAACCTGTTTCCCAGTCAGATGTTGCCTTGGTCGTTATAGATACCTCTAAAGAAAATGAAGAGATAGAGGAAAAAGAGGAAAATGGAGAGGAAAAGCCTGACACTGATTTGGATTATACTGTGCAAGTGAATGAAGCTGATGAGTTAGATGAGGATGATGAAGAAGATGACGAAGGTCCCCCAGTGTTGGAACCAATGGTGACAAAGTCCACTGGGAAGAAGATACAAGCTGCTAATGTGGAATCTGGTGGCATACAACCAAGGACTGCCCTGCAAATGAAAAGTATTCAGGTACGTGAGAAGGCTAAAGAACAAGTACCAAAAGGACATGAAAAACCCAAAGAACAAGTATCAAAGAAAAACATAGTAATGTCTGAGAATGAAGAGGAACCAGTGTCAAAGGATCCTTACCTCTTTGAAGAAATGAACAAGACAGGTTCTGACCAGCCAATCAAAGTGTCGAAAGGAAAGAAACGTGACTCATTAATTCCTTCTGGAAAAATCAAGGTCTACAAATGTGAATACTGTGACAAGGGTTTTATTAAGTTTCAAGGTCTTGTTAAACATAGGCGGGTGCACACAGGCGAGAGGCCTTATAAATGTGAGACCTGTGGCAAGGGCTTTACACAATCCCAAAATCTTATCATCCATCGTAGAATCCACACTGGTGAGCGTCCATATAAATGTACACTCTGTGGAAAGACATTCTCCCAGCTTAATAGTGTCATCAACCACACACGGGGCCACACTGGAGAGAAGCCTTATGCCTGTCCACTTTGTGATCGCTGCTTCCCTAACTCCACTGATGTTAAGCGACACATGAGAGTGCACACTGGAGAAAAGCCCTACAAATGCAGCCACTGTGACAAAGCATTTGCCAAATCGTTCGATGTGAAGAGACATGAGCGCACCCACACCGGTGACAAGCCTCATAAATGTCAGCTGTGTGGCCGAGGTTTTGCCCAGTCAGCTAACATGCTGAGACATGTGAGAACCCATGTGTTGAAGTGTGAGACATGTGACATGGTCTTCACCCTGCACGAGGAGCTGTTGGAGCATGTGAAGACTCATGGCGAGACCATGCCCTACAACTGCAACCAGTGTGATAGAGGATTCATGAGACTACAACACTTGAAGACCCACATCAAGAAACATTCGAACACCAAAGAATTCTCATGTGACGAGAGCGGGAAGAGTTTCAGTAAGAAGCAGAATCTGGTGAAGCATCTCCAGAATCATTCAGATGACAAGCCCTTTGACTGTCAAGTGTGTGGGAAGAGTTTCTCTAGTGTACAGAACCTGAAGGCCCACATACGCATCCACACCGGGGACAAGATGTTCACATGCAGTGTGTGTAAAAAGGAGTTTGTGAAGAAGGCAGATTTAGTACGACATGAGCGTGTCCATTCTGGGGAGAAACCATTTGTGTGTGTTATCTGTGAAATGGCCTTTTCCCAGTCCCACCACCTCAAGAAGCATTACACCAAGCATAATCTGGAGGAGTTGGAAGGAGTGGACACTTCTCTGCTGGAAGACTCTCAAAATGGGGCTGTGGTTGTCGTAGCTGCTCAAGGAGGGGAGATGGAGAAAATGACGATAGTCAAGGCTACAGAAGGAGCTGAAGAAGAAGAAGAGGAGGAAGAAGAAGAAGAAGAGGAGGAGGAGGAGGAAGTGGTGACACCAAGCCCAGTGAAGAAAGGGAAGAAAGCTAAGCCAGCTGAAGTGGAAAAAGCCAATAATAAGAAAGGTAGAGCTTCATCACGTTTAAAAACAACAAAGAAACCTGCAGGTAAGAAGCTTGAGGTTAAGCTTGCTGAAGTTTCCAAGAAGAGAAAGCAGAGTAATGACAGTGGGAAGGCTGAAGTACCACAGAAGAAGGTGAGAGGAAGACCTAAAGAAGTCAGTGCAGAGGCAGAGAATGGCGTAGAGGCAATGGATGTGGAAGCTGATGCTGGGAATTCTGTAGAGGCTGAGGAGGAAGTTGTAGAGACCCCTACAAAACCCAAGCTGAAGAAAGGTGGCATAGTTAAAGGAAAAGCTAAAATCAACCAGGCTGCTAAAAATGAAGCTGTAAAAAGTCATTTTGCTAAAAACCTGGCTTTGCGGCGAATATCCACTGAAAGTGAAACTCAGACTGCAACTCCATCTAAAGACTCTGTTGAAACCCAGACCTTTGGAACTCAGACTGGACGGAAGGATGATTTGAAAGGGGTGCGTATCCTCACAGCCACACCAAGATCTATTTGTGGGGATGAAGTTGAATGAAGGATTTGCCAGTAACTGTGGATATGACATTGACATACATAGGAATACATACCCAAGTACAATTCTCTCTGAAGTTGTATAAAACATTGTGGAAAGTCATTCAAACCAGTGCTGAAGTCTGCATCCAGGGATGCCAGATTGAATTTACCCACATGAAATCATCTTGAAACTCTGTACCCTGTATGATATGTGGTGTGTTAATGTCAAGGAGAGCTGACTCTTCTAAACTTTTGTCCAAATGTGAGATTCTGAAGATGGAGTGAATGTATTTTAGAAGTATGCTGTACAGAAGATGTGTTTTTCAGTAGTCATATATGTGTTTGATTCAAACCTGACTTTATAGGGACAATCGTGAGTGGCAGTATTTGGTTATTGTCTTTGGAAATCTATGAACAATTCAACTATCCTTCAAATAATTCCAGATGACCTAAGCTGTTTTTGTTTTGAAATTTTATCATTTCCTGTTTCTGTACATGTATTTCGGTTATGTGTCATAATTTTGAGGGCAGTTTAATTGTAAATGGCAGTTTGATTTTATGTTTTTATCTCCATGTTATTGAACGTTTGTGAATAATCTGCATTATGATAGTTTTAGTCCTTTACTGACATCTTGTGTGAGATATCCTGGACGAGATGTTTTGCTGTATTTGTCAGCAACTTTGTTTGATTTAGGCATGTGCATACCTGTCACATATATCATAATCATGGCGATACACTTGAAAAGTAGGTCCCATTCTATCAAGCAAGCAAGCTGACATCTCAAAATATTTATTGATTTGAATTAAAACTCTAGGAACTTGCACACATGAACTGATGAACTGTTGCATTTTGGGATACATGAATTTTCAGATTATGAATACTACAAATCCAGCATTGACTGAGGTGTGTGTGGTCAAAGGGAGATAACTCACCAGAGTTACATGTATGTTTACGATGTACAAGTTTTCTGTCCATATCAATTCCATGTGTACCTCTTTATGGGCAAGTTGTTCTGAACAATCCCAGTCATTTTGAGGTCTTTGAATATCAAGAATGTTCAAGAATGTGTTAAGAAGAAGAAATCTTACTCTTATTTTTTGGTAAACTTACCATTTTTATCTTGTGAGTAGAAAGTGGTCCACTGTGGCAATATAATGTGTGGTTTAAGTGCCTTTTTGCATCCCATTAACACCAATTAGATACATTATTATAGATGTGGTGGAAGAAATATTTTGATTTGTGAAATTGTCATGTATGTTTTGTCATAACTATTATTGAAGTGTTAAATTCATGCTTCTAATAAGAAGAGTAAACTAATTTCAGCAATGACATTGATCATGGCCTTAGATTGTGAGCCATGTCCGCTTTATATATTGATGCTTCACTCTCCCAGGATCTTGCTGAACCTTTCATGTGGATTTCATATTTATCAGTTTTTTTAAACATAAACCGAGCACTTTTGCATGGTTTTTTTATACAAATTATTGAAACTTGTGAATATAATGTTATCTGAAATCTTATTCATTTTACCTGTGTGTACAATTTTATCTCCATATAACTTGCTCTCTGACATGTGATGGATCATCTGCTCCAGTGAATGTATATAAATTATTTTCCTGGACCACCATGTCAGTGGCAGGTAACCCCATGATGGAACATCACGTGTTGACAGGACTCATTTAATGCCGCACACAGCAGTATTCCAGCTATATGACGGTGGTCTGTAAATAATCAAGTCCGGACTAGACAATCCAGTGATCAACATGAGCATCGATCTACACAATTAAGAGTCATTAGTATTCTAATCAAGTAAGGATGTGTTGCCAAGTATTTGTGACTCCAACTGTAGGGTAAGTTGTCACACTGTCCTAGTTCAGTCATCGTCCTGTGTAGGCTGAGGCTTGGCCAGTGTTTTTCAGCCAGCTGGTTATAATGTTGAAGTCCTCATGTGCAGAGCTGACCTCAGTTCTGTACATGAGTAATATAAGTAAAGCCCACTTTACGTGCTCATAGTTGTTTTAGGATTTGCATATTACATAGAAGGAAATAACACTCTCTCACTCCCTTACTCGCTCATCCATGTTGTGGTTTTCTATGCCTATGTTAGTAAGGAGGAAATGTGTGACAGAACATCCCGTGTAGACATAAGAACAATTTGAGACGACTTTTCAATACTTCATTATTCTATTCTCACTCTTGATGATAAGTACCTTTGGGCCAAATTGCTTTGAAAATGATGTCATTCCACTATTAATGTAGTTTGATGGCTATAGTTAGTATCAAATCAATCATGTTGAGCTCCAGCCTGTGGTTGCAAGGTAGTTAAGATTACAGAATACATGGATGATCGAGGATGATACAAGGCAAACATTGGTCTGGCCAAGATGTCCATAGTTAATATAGGTGTACCCCTCGACACACTATGCTTGTGAGTCAGGCAGGATGATACAAGGCAAACATTGGTCTGGCCAAGATGTCCATAGTTAATATAGGCGTACCCCACCACACACTATGCTTGTGAGTCTGGCAGGATGATACAAGGCAAACATTGGTCTGGCCAAGATGTCCATAGTTAATATAGGTGTACCCCTCCACACACTATGCTTGGGAGTCCGGCAGGATGATGCTGGAATAATTGTAACATACAGGATACATCATTGTGTACTTTAGGAAAACCTACTGTCTATTGTTAATATAGTCAGCATAGTGCTGACAGTTAAGCAATAATATGATGAATTCAGTTTCTTTACATGTTCTTAATAACAAGGTAACATGAATTCATTTATCCAACATTTTCAACCTTTCATATTTTCAAATTCTTTATCGCCTTATTGTATGAATTTTTGCACAACATTTGTACATAATATGCATTTTGATATGCCTTATAATATGTGGTATTGTAAACAGATGGTAAAAGTGTAAATATGATGTGCTGTCTAAATGAAATGCTTCTAGACTTCTGCTTTGATGTAATCAGTCTAGATAAATCACAAATAAGAATTTATTTTCTGGGAGCTGACTACTGTTGAAACTTTGGCTTTTGAAATAATTCAGAAAAGATGTTCAACTTGTAACCATGGCAGGTCTCTCGCTGTTGACTGCTTCACATTTTCAATACTGCCACATCCCTTACATGCAGACAGAAATGTGAATCAGATTACAGAAAGTGTTTCTTGTATTAGCCGAGCAAACCTATTTGTGTTATTGGGGTGTACTGAACTTGGGTTTCAAGTTAAAGAGAGATTAGAGTAGCATCCCCTTGCTGTGTCAGGATCAGTTTCCTCAGGTTTAGAGATGCATCTTGATTATGATGCTGGAATTCCAACCACATTTAACTGAACGCCAGGATGTAACTGAAAGATTCTTCAAAATGTTGTTTAGTGTCCACTTTTCTTAGGATACCCTCATTACGATTTAAATGTAATGCTGTTTTTAGTGATGTGTTAAATCTAACTTCCCATTCTAACTTCAACCAAACTTAGTGTTAAGCTTATTACCACTGTATGTTTCAAAGAGAAAAGACAAATTGCCTGACACTACCAAAACAGATCAGCTTGATCTGATCCCGACTCATTATGTTCAGAAATTCAATATAGATGTGCTCAGAGGCTGCTATTCGGAACCAAATCTACAGCAGATGTAATTGACATTTGGAATTATACTTTTCCCAGTGCATGTAAGGACTAAATACTAAGTAAAGCCTTTGGAGGGGTGTCGTCATATGAGCGAAATATTCTCAAGTACAACGTTAAACCCAATTTCACCTCACCTCACCTTTGGAGGGGTGACCTTTATTTCACTGTCAGCTGGACCCATAAGGAGGAACAAGGTTTAGTGTGTAGTTGTAATAATGAATGCAATCTCCTAATAGTCTGAATTCAAATTTAAGGAAGAATTTATTATGTCCCAATTAGAATAAAAGATTGATTTTTCCCCCAAATCCCATGCCTAAGGCACCTTGTTTTGGAATGGTGGATAAAACACCTAGTGTTTCCATGACTCCTGTGTGTGTAAGCAGATGTGATTGTATTGAAGAAACTTATGCTATTGGTTAAAGATGGTGGAACATTTTTGTTTAACAGAATTACCTTGGTCAATATGTGAAAGAAGTGTTCAAACTGTGTATTCTTCAAATTTCCATTTAATGGCATTGAAAACAAAAGCCACAGAGGAAGGTGTATTGTGGTGTTGGTATCCATGATGCTGTTATGTCTCTCCAATCCCCCTGAGGTCATTAAAACATTGATAGCTGCTTCACCCATCACCCTCAGTATTACACAGAAAGTCAGATTCAAGTTTGTGATTTATACCATTGAAACCAACAGTATGTTTTGTACATGATTCTTTATTGTGAAAACTGTGGGTTTAAATTGTGGGAAGTGATGTTTAGTGTGATGGTGAAAGGGAGGGATACACTATTTAGTGGGGGATGATTACATGGACATATATGCTCTGCTGGCTATATGGTATTCCATGCATCCTTATCAGTTTTGTTTATTATTTCATAAATAAACTGTTTTTCTAATTATTTTTGTCATAAATCATGAAACATGTGACTTGTGATTGTACGAATAAATGATAAATTCATCTTATGTTGGTTTTGTATTCTCTGTATATTCTCATGACTCTTCTTCCACCTGACTGAATGTCACCTGCCTCATGCTTGTCTGTCTCTTGTGGGATTGATCATCTCCACATTCCGAGATGTGGGACAGATTAGGTACCTACTTTGTCATGTTTGTCCCTCTCTGAAAATATTGGACAGAATAGGCATCATGCTTGTCATATCTGTCTACAGAATTATGGGACAGAATAGGTATCCTTGTCATATCTCTAGAATTGCTAGGAGGGAATGGGTACCTATATTGTCATGTTTGTCTTTTTGTTTGGATTTTGGGGACGAATGGGTGACTGTTAATAGGAATCATTGCTCCACAAATACATCATGATTTGCCTTTTCGGGGTCCTCCTAGAGAAGAGGTCCCGGGGGAGCTCTCAAAGAAACAGCCCACTGTAAGGTGCATTGAATATCTTTAGTATGCAGACAGCTAGCGAGGCACGATATCAGTTAGAACTAGGTCTGACCTTCGTGCCTCAATGAATGTAGTTTTCCTTAATGGAGTAATGACATTCTGAAGCTGTTCTGTCCAGTAATTGTGTGTTAGTCGGGATGTTATGTAAGATCCATGAACATGTCCAGTTGGTAATCCAGCTGGTAATCCCCTTACTGTCTGGCAGGTCAGACTCGGGACTGTAATCTTGTAACTGTTTACTGATGAAGTTGAAGCAAGAGAAGATTAGCTTTGTTTGTGGTAATTGATGTGAACTGTTACATTCGTAGGTGACTGGCTTTAGATGCAATAAGCTGCTGTATAATCATTTCAGATGTGATCGCCTAAATTCACTGTATCGACCGGGTTTCGACTCGTGTTGTGGAAGTTTGTGTTCGGCATACTGTTTATGTGTACATATTGCATATGTATTAGTTACATGGTCCTACCGCTTCCATGGTGTTGGAAGGAGGTGTGGCTGGATAGCGGAATGTCGTTGGTGCTGTTACACTCCAAGACATTAAAGGATGGGAGAGTTGTTACTCTGCCTGACGCTCGGACCTGTGTCCTGCTTTTCAGTTTGCTGTGCCACCGGCAACTTGGGAGCTATTTGGCTAACACGCATAAACCGGCATTAGTCCGGATATGTGTATAAAATGACGAATGGTTAGGTGTGTGTGTGTGTGTGTGTGTGTGTGTGTGTGTGTGTGTGTGTGTGTGTGTGTGTGTGTGTGTGTGTGTGTGGACATAAAATTGAATACACACACGTGTGTGTGTATATATATATATATAGAGAGAGAGAGAGAGAATTACTAGTAAATGGAAAAGAAAAGGATGAAAATATAGTTCATCAAGCACCGCAAAAATATACAGAATTATACAGTATTCTTTCATGGAAATAAATACGACACACCATATGGATATTCATTTATTCAAGAGGCGACTAACGGGATCGGGTGGTCAGGCTCGCTGACAGGGTTGACTCATGTCATCGATTCCCCATGCGTAGATCGATGTTCATGTTGTTGATCACTGGATTGTCTGGTCCAGACTCGATTATTTACGCCATATAGCTGGAATATTGCCGAGTGCGGCGTAAAACTAAACTTACTGTCACTCACTCACTCGTTCCATGAATACCTGTGTATGTGATACTCGCGTGTGAAAAGACAGAGGTATGAGGTATGCGCACTTGTCCGTGTGTGGAGCAGTAAATAAGCAACAGTTTCTCATCTGCTCAGTTTATACGTCTCACTATGTTGATGGTCCTATTACCAGCTGTTGCTTTTTTATACAGGAAGGGGTATTCTCGTCGATCAGTTTCTTCAACCAAGATCAACCTAATTACTTCATCACATTCCTACATAAAATAACTGTTAGTCTTCGCGTAACGGTGAACAGAGATAAACCGGCTGTCGTTGAAAGTATTTGTGCCCAAGCTTTGAACTGAGAGCGATTCTTCTACAATGCCATTTGCTACCATTGATTTCGAGACAATATCTTTCAAATTACCGTGCGCGATAATCACATTCGTAGCCTTCTCTTTTTCGATTTCGCGTTTCATAAACATACACTGAACAACAGTTCCACGATAACAGACAACTCGGTAAATCCCGCCATTTCCCGGACTAAATACTTATTGATAAATAATAGGTTTCGTTATCGACAAACTTTCTCACGTCTTTTAGCGTTTAAACTAAAGCGGCATGTTATATACTACACGTGTTAGTTGTCGTGGGTATCCGGTGGTCAATATTGTCAGCGCGTGTGGCCTGGGTTTGTGAGGAACACCGACACTCCCAGTCGCGACCGTTCTGTATCTGAGTGAGTGAGTGAGTTAATATTTAACGCCACATCGGCAATATCTCAGCCATATCGTAACAAAAACAATTTATATAATAAAAAAAATGAAAACATTGTGAAGAGTTAAACCTGTCGACGATGGACAGTAAAAATACTAGAGTAACACAGATATGACTGACTGACTGAGTTTGGTTTTACGCCGCTTTTAGCAATATTCCAGCAACATCACGGCGGGGGACACCAGAAATGGGCAACACAGATATGAACATAAAACTAGCATGTAAAACTAAAACAGTGTAATTAAAGAAGACAGCACAATATAAAACACGGGCTATAGATCGCCAGCATCTGAAGGTGTTCTGTGTCTGTCACCATGGTCCTATGATCGTCCTAGTCTACACCTTAGTTATTACAATGCAGCTAATGTACTGTGATTGTTTTAGTTAGTTCACGGATCTCCCCAACCCAGCCTCAGATTATTCAGATCCTACACGGAGTAGGAGGAAGCGATCTAACGTCACAATAACGGGATTGCAGGGTCATCGCGCCCTGGCGTGGTTTGTCATAATATCAACCCCTGGTTTAGCCAGACTCCATTATCTCCAGAGGAAGTGTTGTTCAGCTGCCTGTGAAACAACATTAACTCATCAGTTAGACTAGTCATCGATCTTACGTCAAGACAAGGGGCATAAACATTAGTGTTGTCAATGTTTGATTCATTAAACAAAGCCTTGATTCATTCCATTTGTCAAGCTGGTCCTTAACAATTCACCACTGAAGCTTTACACGTATGTGTTTCGATTTATTGATTCAACATTGATTGCCCTTTTCAGATCAGTTACGCCACAAAACTGAGCTTATTTTACACATGTACCCAGCTACCGAGAAATATTCGTAATCAATGAATGCATATTTCATGACAGAAGCTGGCGGTAATGGCAGCATACCATCTCAAGGATCTCCAGTCGCAACTAACTGAAAGAGCGCCACTCAATATTTCAGTTGATATCGACTGTGTTATTTTACTTCGTTTAAAAGATAACAAAATGTCAAGTTTGAATTGATCAATTTCTGTTTCATCGTACAAAGAGTGATAAATGCTCCCAGTGTTCTCAACGGCTATTACAAAAAGATACAAACACAGACTTAAAAACTCGGGCTTATCGCATCTTCTCCACACAGGCGGAAACCAAGAACCAGTCAAATCTCGCTGTAGCCGTGATGTCAATGTCGGGGACCACGTGGTATCCCAGTGACGGAGGCAGTCGCTAGCAAACCGAATGCGTCATTGAACGACATCACTGCGGGGACACCAGAAATAGACTTCGACACAGTGCTGATGTCGAACAAGGGTGTTACGCTTTACGAGCGGAGGCTTTAAGCTCGACGATACTCAACCACTCGTACGTCGGAGATCAAGTCCCGCTTCTAGATATTAAGCACCATTTTGAATCCTGTTATATGTGTCCCCACCCTAGTGTTTACCATAAAGAAGAAAACGGTGAAACCGTCGCCCCTGGTTTGGTATACATACCCTTTATGTAATGTAGGAAACTATGAAATATGAATGTTCAAATCAGTGAGTGAGTTGGGTTTTGCGCCGCTTTTAGCAATATTCCAGCAATACCACGGCGGTAACACCATGTTCAAATCAAGTATTAGAAAAAAAGATACTAACATCCCATGCGGGAACATTACTATGTGTTTAAACTAACACCCAGACAGAGCCTACAGTCTGCACGTGCCGCATGTTGTTG